TGGCTGGTAGAGGCAGGGAAGGGGCACCAGGAACTATACACGATGCCTCATATAACTGTCTCCACTTCACTCCTTGCCCATTCATTTTCTGACACTTCTAGTCTATCACAGAATCACAGACGATTAGGGTTGGAAGAGACCTCAGGAGGTCATCTATTCCAACCCCCTGATCAAAGCTATGTTCTCCTAAGAGTTTAACAAAGGCTCATGGTCTATTATGAAAAGGAAAAAAGCGGCTTAAAAAAAGGGCTGGATAGATCAATCCCTGCAGCTTAACAGTTAGTTGCTGCAACCCTTCCCCCTCATTTTCGAAAACACATTTGTCTAAAGACAGACACCACAAGTCTACTGCAAATGGGGGTTTCTGAAAGTGGACACTGTAGTGAATAGTTCCACTTACCGGACTTTCTGCAAACACTGCTCTGTCAACACATCTCAGTCTTAGGGTATGTCTATACTACCCGCCAGACTGGCGGGCAGCGATCGATCCAGCGGGGGTCGATCTATCGTGTCTAGTCTAGACGCAATAAATCGACCGCCGAGTGCTCTCCCGTCGAATCCGGTACTCCACCAGAGCGAGACGCACAGGCGGAGTCGACGGGGGAGCATCAGCAGTCAACTCACTGCAGTGAAGACACCACGGTGAGTAGATCTAAGTACATCGACTTCAGCTCCGTTATCCATATAGCTGAAGTTGCGTAATTTAGATCGATCCCCTGCCCCCCAGTGTAGATCAGGCCTTAGAATCATAGACCGGTAGGGTTACAAAGGACTGCAAGGGGCATCTAGTCTAACCCCTGCCAAGATGCAAGATTTGTTGTGTCTAAACCATCCAAGACAGGTGACTATCCAGCCTCCTTTTGAAAACCTCCAGTGAAAGAGCTTCTATGACCTCCCTCAGCAGTCTGTTCCATTGGCCAACTGTTCTTACAGTTAGGACGTTTTTCCTGAGATTTAATCTAAATCTGCTCTGCTGTCGTTTGAGCCCAGGGCCTCTTGTCCTGCCCTCTGTGGCAAAACAGAACAACTTTTCCCCATCTTTTTTACATCTCAGCCTTGAGCAGCAACACCTTGTGGTAGCTAGTCTTGCCCTTGTTTCCTCCCAGGTGTGCCAAAGCAGCTAAATCCAGGCCTACAGCATCCCTGCTATTCCTGGTCCTCAGTCCCCAGGCAGCTCTGCTGATTAACCCTAACCCTGACCCTTCGCCTGCCCTTCCAGTCCAGCCCTACGTCAAGCATGCAGGATGATTTTGTGATGCGTACGTATAAGGACCATACTGTGGACACCAAATGCATTTTCACTTATGACCTGAGTCAGAATTGGAGCCTTGGTTTCCAGAGGTGAAATGATTTCACGCTCACCTGCGTGTCACTGCCATCTGATCTTGTTATAACATTTCAACCTGTCATGAGCTCCATTCTTCCTCCCGGAGAAAAACAAGAGATGACTGTGAGAGAGATGAGTTTGGAACCTGAAGCCACCCCAAAGATACATAGAGGCTGGCACTGACTAAACAAAATCAACAAGCACACCCCTGGAGCCGCAGTAATCTCCTACCCCTGGCAAGTTCAAACTTGATGCATTCACCTCAAATTCTTAAGCTTGAAGAGGAGTATCAGGAGAATCTAAACCATTCAGTTGCAGCGTTTGTTTCTTTATTTTATTTTAATGTATGCCGTTCCAGAAGCCTTCCGCTGCAGTAAAAATAAATAAATCAGACGACCAGAGAATGAATCACACTTATCAGATGTGTCTGTATTGTAAGAGTCATGGAGAAAATGTCCCACTCCTAGGATGATTTGAGTACCTGCCACAAAGATGTAAATCTTTTTTTTCTTTTGCTAGGGAAGGTCGGTAATGAAAATACAGTTAGATAAGCATGCTGGGGTCAAAGCAGCATGAATGGCTAGGTAGCTATGGAGTCAGAGGAAGAGATCCATCGTGGACGCGACGCTTGTTAAATGTTTAAAAACAAAGAGTAGGAATAAACGGTCAATTTTCAGCACAGCAAGGTTAATAGCGGTGTGTCCCAATGGTACGAACAAGAGGCAGGATTATTTAGTAATGATCTGGAAGAGAGGGCAAACAGTGACCGGTGTAACATTTATGGAATTCAAAAGTATTTAGTATCGAAGTATTAAAAGTATTTAGTATCGAAGTAAACCTAAAAGTGTTTAGGTTTGTCAAGACTAAAGAGGATTTTGAGGAATTTCCAAGGACCTAACAAAGCTACGTGTGGGGGAGGAACTATGTTGATTTGAAAATGGTTTGATCTTAAATGGTGTCATAGGAGAAATGACAAGCAAAATTGTATGATGGGGTATGTTGTGGGACAAAGGGCAAAAGGACCACATGGTGCTGGGTGCATGGAGACACAGAGGCTAGGATCCCTGGACGGAAACACCTATTCAGACTGCTTGTTCAGAACTTGTGTGTGTGTGTGTGTGTGTGTGTGTGTGTGTGTGTGTGTGTGAGAGAGAGAGAGAGATCT